TTTTTTTTTTTTTTTTTTTTTTTTTTTTTTTGTTAAGCTACATTCTTCTCTCAATTTCACCTCACACTGCCTACCTACCACTACTAATTATGGTATAATTATGGTTCCGAGCATACACGAATCCCTACCATCCGATCTGAAAATCTCAACGACACAATTTGACCACGCTAAAAATCACACGATATATTATAACTAAACCCCCGCTAGTGTGACACAGCCTACAGGCTGCACACCCGAACCCTAAACCTGTAAGCCAAAAAAATGCCGACTACCTACCGGTCGTATGCCTGATGCAAACTGAGCAGACCCCTTTCTTTGTTCCGTTTCTCTGGAGATTGCACTTGCTGGATATCGGGTCCAGTGTCCCAGTGTTACATGAATAGGAAAAACAAAGATCGATGACTTTGGCAACAGCCCTACCAATCCCCTCCCCCCCAAACCAAGACTGTAATACTAAGATATTGCCTGGAGGTGAAAACGAGTCCATGAACTCCGTCACAGGCCTCACTTGAACAGGATCAAAGGCAGAACAACCTTGGACCCTCGCGTATGAAACTGACAACCCGTGCATTACCTTACTGCACAAGCTTCAACCGCGTGACATTGGAGCTAGAAGTTCACCTAAGAACAAAATCTGCAACGGTTCAGCTAAGCAAATAGTCTGCTATGCTTCACCTCAGCACATAGTCTGCAACCATTCACCTAAGCACATAGTCTCCAACCATATTCACCTAAGCACATAGTCTCCAACCATATTCATCTAAGCACATAGTCTGCAACCATTCCCCTAACCACGCAGTCTGCAACCATTAAACTACACAGTCTGTGGTGATTCAGCTAAGCACATAGTCTGCAACGAACACAGCAAGTGGTAGACATATGAGAGCGGAATCCGAAAAAGAAATGTCAAGAGATAGTAGGCTGCGCCGGCGATGAAAATGAAGGAAAACACATACCAGCCGCTCTCCAGATCCATAGTCTGCAACGAAAGTATGAGAGCGGAATTTGAAAAAGAAAGAGAATAATGGGCTGGATTGTCCAGAATGTGCCTAGTATACGATAGTTGGCGCCAAAATGAGGGAACACAGAAACCAGCCGCTCCCCAGATCCTATGTCCTGCCGTCTGCTACGCCCATCTCCTTCATTCTACTCACGACCTCAACCTCAACCTCCCCTTCCCTCTTTCCCCTCCTCCCCTCCGCTCTCCTCCTCTCACCCACCTATCACTTCCCACCGTACTCATGGGCAAGACTTGGAACAGAACTGGGAGATTCAGAGGGGATGGGGGACACTCAAACGGGGAGGTTTTATGATCTGCCCCCACTACCAGGTAGTGCCAGGACGACAGTGCACGAAAGAGGATGGTAATGCCGAATTCCCACTGATAGGACACCAGCCACTCCCTCCCGCCCGCAGCAACCATTGGCATAGACGCTTTGAAACAGGAAGATACTGCTAAGTTGATGGAAATCAAACTGCATGCACACATCCCACATCCCGAAACAACCACTAGCAAAGACGGAGGGAAAGAGATGCCAAATGGAGTGACGTGTCCGTACAATGTAGGACGTGTCCGTGTCCGTACATCGGCGGATTCGAAAACCCATCCCCCGAGAGATGATCATCATCTTCTTCCGTACAGTGCTCGCCGGATTCGAAAACCCATCCCCCGAGAGATCTGATCATCATCTTCTTCCCCCAACAGCAGAACGAGGGACGACGAAATACATGTAGGAGTTAATAAAATTAAATCAGGTTTTTCCTCTTTATCTTTCCGAGTCATATTTTCTACAACTCCATCATTTGTGTGTGTTCTAAGGATGGCGCAGACAACACACAGCAACCACGCGTTCCATTCGAACGATTAAACAGAAGACAAGACATGTTTAAGGACTAAAGATATAATACAGTAAGTTATAATATGAGAATTAGGGTTACAGAAAGAGACGATGGAGACCGCGACAACGGGAGGAGGAGAGGACTCCTTCCACACATATAAGGATACTTAGTGAAGTATACTTCTTTGACGCGAGACGGAAGAGACTAATTCCCTGACAGACCTTGATCTGAAAAGGGGGAATACCGTTTGCAGAAAAGTGCAGCAAAAAGGCAAAAAGCCTAAAAACTTCAATACAAGCATAGTTCCGCTGACAAACAGTAATTTTTTTTTGAATTTCGAAAATGCAACAACAGAAAAGGAATTCGAACTGCCAAAGATTCACTAAAATACGAAAGAAAATGGTTAAAAACTAACTTCTCTTTAAGCGCGAAGTTCACCCATCTAAACTCTATATAAGCGACTTGTCAGAAATTGATCTTATTTATAAGGGGCATTATATTACAGTGGATGGACTCCTTCCTGCCTGATCGCGGACCGACTCAACAAGCAGCTCAGTAAAATAAGCTATCAGTCAAATGATTTGTTCTATAACTTCTCAGCCGTCAAGACGATGGGTCTTCACGGCAGCAAATCGATTGGGTCGGTACCCCAGGAGATCGAGAAGGGGACGACAAAGGCAAACGAAAAGGGGACGACAAAGGCAAACGAAAAGGGGACGACAAAGGCAAAATGGAGAAACGATAACGCAGCTGTGATATGATCTTCACGCCTGTGCCAATCAATTGGCTACGTCGCTCTTAAGCTCACGAACTACTGGGTCCGTTGCTCAGGATAAAAGAGGGGACGATGGCCACGTGACAGAAACGACACCCCCGCTGCGAGGTAAGAGAAAGTATGACATACGTCGCAAAAAGGGAAGACTGCCGACGATTGTAAACAAATGAAAGAAAAAACGTGGGGAAGACGCCGGGAAAACGCGGGGAAAACGCGGGGAAAAGGCGGGGAAAATGCGGGGAAAACGCGGGGAAAATGCGGGAAACAAGCAACGTGAGACCCGATCTGCGAAAACGGCAAGAAGGAGAGGAGTAGCAAGATGGAGACGAAATTGGCATGCTGCGAAAAAAGAAATGAAAATATGGGAGTGACAGGATATAGAGCGGCTGGTATGTGTTTTCCTTCATTCCGTCGCCACTTGTGTGTGAGCGGCTGGTATGTGTTTTCCCTTCATTATCGTCGCCGGCGCAGCCTACTACTGTAATTCTTTTTTTTTTTGTTATATACTAACTGAGCTATATTCTCCTCTCAATTTCACCTTTCACTATCTACCTACCCCCCTTACTCCTAGCCTATGCATCCCCTTAATTGGGTGTGGCAGGATAAAAGGCATTACCTATGATGCGTAGTTTGTGGCAAGACTGCCAACTCCTGCACGTACTCAAAGAAGAGAACAAAGGAACCGATCGACGTGAAACCAGAAATACGAATATGGCGGGAAGACGGGGGATTAGAAAAAATGCAGAGAAAAAATTAGAGAGATGCAAGATAGATATTCCGGGAAAGAGTGGGGACGGCAGGGGCAGGATGAAGACGTCGATGAGTCGTTTGCGCGCAGACTGCTAAAAATGACAGGCATGGTAAGTAACCGTGATTTCACAGATGTGAAAATGGCGGGACAGAGGGAAAATTGACACGGGTGAATGCAAATCTCCGGGACACGGAAGACCGTCGGATGGTACGAAGGACATAGTAAGGAAATCTGGATCGACGGCGCAGCTCTTACAGACACAGTCACAGAAGGGGAGGCCCTGTTGTTGCCCTCTCTTCGATTCTAGTTAGACATCAACCTACCCCAACCAACAAACAAGGACGGGCCAGCTGCATGCGCTAGCGGGACTTTCACCCCGTCGTACACAGTCGTGCGCTTCAGAGTACTCGACTTACCTCCACTTCGCTGACATCCGTTTCCAGAATAGGCGGCGCAAAAACGAATCCGATTCGTATAACCTCCGGGAACTGCATTGGCAAGAACGAAAAAAAAAACTGCATTGCAATTGCAAAGAACAAAACTTCAAACAGTTTTAGAAAGAATGCAAAAGCATAAAAGCATAAACTTGAATGAAATTACTGTATTAGGAAGAACACGACCATACAGAAGGCACGCAACGGTCGATGAAACGGGAGAGATGTTATACTCTCAGAGATCCTTGTGCTCGATCGACAGTCCAAAGTGAAGAATCCAGGCAAGTGGAACATCTCACTGGGGGAGGTAAAACCCCTCCAGACATGTTCTTTTTGTGCTCACAAGCGACCTGAGAGAGAGATTAGGAGGCATATATCTCGCGCCAGCCACTCACGTTCTTGTAATCAATCCGATCAGAGAGATTGTTATACATGATTGCTGATTAACTGATTACGCATAGATCGCGACATCAAGAAAATCCCCCGTCTGAAAGCTAAGCTCCGCCAACGTCTTATTTTCGTCAGGTCTCCTCGCAAAGGATGCTGTCTTCCCCACCGGGCGCATAACGTTCCTCCCCCTTCTGTCCGGATAGACGAAGGCGAAAGAGAGTATAGCATCTCTCTTTCTCGCCGTGGGAGAAACCTCCTTCACAAGATCAGTGAGCTCTCGTAACGTGGCGTCCCGCCACGTGTAGATCTGAACTTCATCCTTAGGTTCCTTCCCTCTCACTTCGAAGTCATCCACACTGTGATGACCCCCATGCTTCGTGAAAACCCGCAGCAGCAGCGGGCATGTCTTCTCCCTGTCCACGGTGATCGTTGGCCGATTCATCCTTTGGCGGTCAACGAACAAGCACGCCAACTCGGACTCGATGCGCGAACCGCCGCCGCAAATGCAACTGCTAAATCAAATGCAAATGGAAATGCAAATGCAAATGCAAAGCACTTCAAATCCGTTACGTTGTTCCAACCGTACTAAGTAAACGGCACTGTGAATGCGAATAACTCCCTTGTCGATGTTAGAGGTGCTGATACGAGCCGACTTTCTGTACTGCGAGGTGAAATCTGGAAGGGTCGACTGTTATGTTACGCGGTCAGACCCTTCCCATCGCGCTCAAGCCCCAGGCAACTATCTTAGGTCCTACCGGTAGTTGGACCACTTGCCATCCACCAAATTTTCGAATGCAACTGGACATATATCTGACCAGCTGCATTCAATACGTTGGCGGAAGATGAGTTGTGCAGTGATCTTCGTTTCTAGCCGTCGATCTCGATAATCGACGGCCAGAAATGGTGAGCCTGGGTAAGTGGAATGGAACCTACCTTCTTCGGCTCGATCCGTAGAGCGGCTGAAACCTACTCGCACTACCGGTAGGTAGGGGGCCTCGCTCCACACTCGCGAGATGTACAGATATACCGCCATTATTTTTTTTGTCTTTTGTGCATGTCGAGGCCCAGGGCTTTCATGTCGAGGCCCAGGACTTTCAGTAATGAGTTGCCCCTGCTAACGGTCAGATACAGATACGTTATGGTAAGCCTTACCGCATCGTTTGAGTTTGTGCCCAGTCTTCTCGACTTTCGGGTCCTCATGACCTCTAGCCCGCCTCTCATACATCAACCCCCAGA